TTCTAATTGGCTCTGACTCTGATGTCAACGAGTACTAGCCAATCAGAGGCAGAGCAGGGTAATGTGTTTTTTTTCTGGTTAGGAAAACATCAGTCCTGTAACTAAAAGAAAAAAGTTAGATGAGTGCATAAAAAGCAATAATAAATAAAGAATTTGTGAATTCAGGATGATATTTATTTGTGTGTGCAAATTTTAATTATCAGAGGTTTACTGTGTATATAATGTACTTGGTACATCAGTCTATATTTGATATCCCATCTGTTTTCTAATGTTGATTAATGTTAAAAGGTGGTTTAACTCCCTCTTGTAGTCATTGTCCTGAAGCTCAGGGGGGAGAAAAATAAATAAACTGTGTACCGTGGGTACAGTTTTGCAAAACTGCGCACAGTTTACTAATCTGTCCACATGGATGTAAATTGACAATCTGTACCCACAGTTTTTCTCCTCCTCTCCAAATCAAACAGACCAGGTTATTAAAACTGATAAAAACACTGAATAAAGCACTTTCATGTTGTGTTTTTCCAACACTCTCGTCACGGAGGGGCTGCAAACTATGGTGGCCAATTCAAAGACACAAAGACGCAAATGGTCCCATGTAGAGCCAGTGTTAGGTTTGTCTGTTCTGGGCTACTGTACAAACATGGCAGTGCAACATGACTTTTTTCGTACACAAGTACCTGCTTCCTATGTAGATATAAACCGCTCATTCTCAGGTAACAAAAACACAATTCTATTTTCAGGTGATTAGACACTAAAGAAAACATACTTTTTATAGTATATCCCATTTTTGCCAATATATCCCCCTAAATCCTTCACACTGGCTGAACTTTTTACCAAAATCAACTTGATGCTAGAGCTGTCCAATCTCATGATGTTTCCATATAAACACATCTAAGTTTACTTTTTTGACACTGCTTTAAACATAACAAATGAAATTTTGAAATGTACCTTTACAACACAACCATGTTGCCTACACGCAAGAGATGAGACGTCATCAGACATTGCCTCATGCTGTTGAGTTAGTTAAGCAGCGATCTTGCTACAAACGGATACCTGTTGCTGAGCTCCTGTTTTGTTAGGGTTAGGGTTAACTCAAATCAACTCAACGCATGTGTGATGTTTGGTTACATGTAGTCTCCATTTTGTTCATGTATGAAAAGATAGTAGTCGTACAACCAGGCTTGGTAAGGTTGATGTCTGTGTAAGTAACATGAGCATTATGGAAATTCCAATAGCAGTGTTGCTGTGAGTTTTTGACTGTCATCTTCTTCCACACTATCCAAGATACCACAACCAAGAAGCATGGACCCAAACTGTCAAAAAGTATTAATCAATACATAAACGTATACATTTTTAAACATGGTTTCCTGCTGGGAAAATATAGGAAACTTATTATGTAGCGTAAGCCTAAACGTTATATATCACATACTATAATAATGATAATTAAACATGTATGTAGGTTTATATGTTGTCATTTATCATTATGTAATTCATTCAATTTATTATTTATGTAAGGTGATTTTCAGTAAACTTTAATTTTGTGACTGATAGTGGTCAATAAATTAAAATAATATGGCAGCACACTAGGAAGTCACTGGTAAAATCATTGTTTCTTGTCAGGTCAGCAATACAAGAACTGTGGTTAAACTCAGGCTTAGCCTGACCTGAACCAGGTTAGTTTCCCAGCATTTGCCATAGAAACGGAACTTGAACTCTATTTTATGGAATGGGCCCCTGGAGTCATGTTTCTTCCATCTTTCTGTTTTAGGTCAGCCACTGGATTACCGTCGTATAAGTAACTATCCATGTCCACGCCCGTCTGATTTGGATGCTCTGTTTGAGGACATGATGCAGAAGGTGCGTCAGAGTGCGCGTGGAGCCATAGCACCAGTTGCATGTGTCCAGGCGGTGCGGGCGGCTGCCACCCTGCCATACACTCAGGGTATGGAGCGGGAGCAAGAGCTGATGGCCACTCTCTTCACCTCAGGCCAGGCCCGCGCCCTGCAGTACTTCTTCTTTGCTCAGAGAGCTGCTGGCAAGTGGATGATGCCCAGTGGAGCCCGATGGGACACAAGCAAGCCCAGGCCCGTACATAAAGCAGCTGTCATTGGTAAGAGCTTTGGGCTTCCAGTTTGTATTAGTCTGAGCTTTCAATAAACACATTGACTCATCAAGCTATCTGTGTGGCATCTCCAAATTCACGTTGCCTATGGAAACTAAGCCCTCAGTTATAGTTTGGCTGAGTGTAAATGGATGAACTCTCTCTTCCCTGCAGGGAGGATTGGATGTATGACAATCTGGATATGTGAAGCTCAGCAGCTTGTGCATTAAAATTGCAAGCTTTGGAAAAACTTTATGCTCCCAGGCCCAAACTAAACAGCCTAAGATTGTGTAGTGTGCACAAAAAAGAATTTACTGTAATTTTTCTCTGTCAGAAATGTCTGTGATGTGTGTGACTGGTCATTCTGAGGTAATATTTCTGTAGTCACCATGTGATTTTGTCTGCAAAGGTCTCGGCACCATGGGGAGAGGCATAACAGTGGCCCTGGCCCAGACAGGGTTGTCTGTGGTTGCTGTGGAGACCCAGGAGAAGCAGTTAATGGAGGCAAAGCAGGAAGTATCTGGCATGTTGCAGCGAGGAGCTAAGAGATGTGGGGGGGCTCCTGCACTTGATAGGATCAGCTACAGCCAGAACATCCAGGCTGTAGCAGACGTCGACCTGGTCATCGAGGCTGTGTTTGAGAACATGGCCCTAAAGAAGAAAGTCTTCCAGCAGCTGTCTGCTGTTTGTAAACCAGGCACTTTCCTGTTCACCAACACCTCTACACTAGACGTGGATCAGCTGGCCTCTGAAACCCCCAACCCAGAACTGGTGGTTGGGATGCATTTCTTTGCCCCAGCCCATGTCATGAAGCTGCTGGAGGTGGTGTATGGGCCACGGTCCTCTCCTCAAGCTGTGGCCACTGCCATACAACTGGGAAAGAAAATGGGCAAAGCCAGTGTGGCAGTCGGCAACTGCCATGGCTTTGTGGGGAACCGCATGCTGAAACCTTACATCAACCAAGCTTCCTTCCTGTTGGAGGAGGGAGCCACACCTGAGTTGGTAGATCGAGCGCTGGTGGAGTTTGGCTTTCCAATGGGTGCGTTCAGAATGTCTGACCTTTCTGGACTCGATATAGCCTGGAAAATCAGGAAGGAAGAGGGGATGGTGCAGCTTGGCATAGCATCAGGGCCGTCTGCTAGAATCCGACATGGCTGCAGGTACAGCCCCCTGGGAGACCTGCTCTGTGAACAGGGACGGTTTGGCCAAAAATCAGGCCAAGGATGGTACCAGTATGACAAACCAGGAGGTCGTATTGCCAGATCTGATCCCTGGCTGCATAGGTTTCTGGAGGAGTACCGAGCCCAGCACGGCCTGGTGGCGCGCAACATAGACCAGCAGGAGGTGCTGGAGCGCTGCCTCTATTCTCTAATCAACGAGGGCTTCCGCATCCTGGAGGATGGAATAGCTGCAGGACCTGAAGACATCGATGTCATCTATGTCTTTGGCTATGGCTGGCCCAGGCACCGTGGAGGTCCTATGTTCTACGCCAGCATGGTGGGGCTTGCGAAGGTCCTGGAGAGGCTGGAGCACTACCACCAGGCTCACCCTGATGTACCCAGCCTGCAGCCCTGCGGCCTCCTCAGGAGGCTGGTGGCCAGTGGCAGCCCACCTGTCAACAAGTGGAGGGAAGCCATCAAGAAACTCCGCAGCCATCTTTAAATCTGGAGATCATCAGCTTTAATCTCTTCATTCACTTTGATAATGAAGGTCTTACACTGTGATTAACTTTTAATGAACTGCATTTACACAGGCTGTTCTTTTTTCTTTTTCTATACTGTGATTATGGATGATATTCAAGGAGGGATTAATTTCAGGGATTAATAATCATATCTCTGACTGTGGGCCAACTCCAAGTTACCAGTTTATTTGTCAGGAATATACAGTGTAATAAACTTCATCACATCAACTATAAACCAACACTTATAGAGTTTCTGATGTTGACACTATCAGAGATGTTGATTCAGCTTACAAAACACTGATTGTACTGTATCATTTCTAATATTTCTAATATATCTTTTATTTTCTAATATTTACCTGTGTATGTAAATGGGTGTGGTCAAAGTGCTAGAAACACTTGAAATAGGGGATTTCATTGAATGTCCTATGTTAGGCTTGAATCATGTTTAATACATGTTGGTACATTTAACTGTATGTACAATTTGTAATAATAAAAATATATATCATCTGATGCCTTAATAAAGATCCGTTATATACTCGTGTATAGACTTTTTGGTGATTTGTATTGTTTTTATTAACTTCAGATATTGTTTGGGTTGGTCAGGTTGTTGATGTGGCATCTCATTTGATGTGTTTCACCAGTCAAACCTTCTCTGGAGGAGAAAAAAGTGAAGACTGCTCTTCATGTGGTGTGTGTCTCTGGTTTCTGTTTTCCTGCTGACTCAGCTGCAGCGGTGACAGAGGAGAGCTGAGGGAGACACGCAGCGCTAAACTGCTTTTATATAAATCAATGGCTCACTCCCAAAGAAATCTCACGCCCCAGCAATGAGTCGATGTTGGGGTTGCCATCTAGCGGCGGCTGCAGGCTCCAGACTGAGCAGCTGGATTGTACAGCATGATGCTCCATTTTGTCTGTAACTGCACTATTTCTGAACCTTTCATTGTTTAAAGGCGGGGAACTGCATGATCAAAACAATAATCACGATTTAGTGAACTATTGGAATATTACCAAGATTATATAATTAGGAGATATTCTAAAAATGTGGCTTATTTGCTAATATTATTTAGGTGAAAGTGAGTATTTGTCAGATCCAGATCCAGGTGTTGTGAAGTTTTTAAAGGAATGAAAGCCTGGATGCGTGTTTGAAGTGCGCAGAGCAGCTGGCTTTGTGTTTGTGGACTCCTCCCGTTGTGTGATGAAGTTCAGATGCGCGCCGTTGTTCCGTACGCGCGTCACCAGCGCACAGAGGAGCTTCCCGACGCGAGGGGAGGATGGAGAGATATGTTGATCACGACCATGGGAGGCTTTAAATGTCACATTACACGTTGCTAATTGACGCTCTTGTACTTTCACGGGATATGTTTCCACCCTTTGTGTGAGCAGCTGCTCTGGATACACAAATCCAGCGCCGCCTTTCGCGTCTGTCTCCCAGTTGAGAAGCTTCCTGGGCTGCGTGGACCGTGAAACCTCGGCACGGTCCCTCGCGGTTATGTTGTAGTTTACTCGGACAAAGCTTTTCTTTTTGTTTGGATCCAGGAAATGTTGGCATGGCCGCCTCGGGAGCACAGAAGTGTCCGAAGAGTGAGAAGTTGGACGAGGCGCAGGCTTTGGCCAAGAGCTGCGCGGGGAGACCAGACTTCCTGCCTTGTGATGGGCTCTCCATCTGCGCTACCCACAGCCACGGGAAGTGCTTCAAGCTGCACTGGTGCTGCCACTTGGGCTGGTGTCACTGTAAGTTTGTTTTACACGGTTTAATAGCTCACTGTAATACCAGAAATCTATCTCACTCAGTGTCACTGTGGTGGCAGAATATGATGATAGACAGTCATGGCCGTGTGAGAGCGTAGAAGCATCGGCTCACTTGGGTCTCGACTATAAAGGACAAAATGAAGCAGATATTAACTCCATACTGACGCGCTCAGAGTGAACATTTGCTGCCTAAGTGCTCTTAATCTGTTTGTTTTTTTAAACTTGTCTGAGTTGTATTCACTGCCATAATATCGAGGTCAAACTTAGTCACATTTATCCTTGATCAGAGACCTTCTAACAGACTGAATAGTTTATGTAGACTAAACAATGGAGGCTGCAAAATTCAGAAGCAGATGTTTAATGGTTTCAGTGTTACTGCCATTATTCTGTTCTGTACTTGTGCCTCAGTGTTAAATGTTGATACCCACTCCAGATTTTCAGTAATTCATTCATTCGTTCAAATATAGTGACTTAAACAGATTGCATCAAGGCAGTTTTCCTGTATCCATGTTACTTTAGCTGTCAGCTGTAATCAAGGCCGTAGCCATGGAGTCAACACTGAGGAGGACCAAATCTGTTGGGGTGGGGCTGGTCTTCGTAAATATGAAAACTAATATCCTACTCGGGGTGGGAATCACCAGAGGATCCACGGTACAGTATTATCACAATACTTAGTCACAATGCAATATCATATCATATTGTATCGTATCGTATTATTGCAATTGTAAATGTGTTGCGATTGCACTCTTAAGATGACTGGACTCATCTTCTGTTTGGCAACTTTATTCTCCCTGGTACTGCATATATAGATTTTTAAAAGGTTTGCTCAGAGCAGCCGGGCTTCACATGACAATGCAAACACAACATGTCCTCCCAAAACAGGAAAGAGAAGAAAAAAGACGCCCCCTCGTGACATTTGTCGCTCACAGATTATCACACTGTCTGTATACAGAGTGAACTAGGGCAATATAATAAAAAAATATTTAACTAAGGGACAGAGAATGAAATTAAAGTATGTTCTGCTGGAGATGCCTTATGCATGACATTTTCATGACGTTTATTATGCTGAAAACCTTTTTTAAAACTGTAACTTATGTCCCTAAAGAATTTAATTTCTTAACATCTATTTTATCAAATGAGATAAAGATTTTCAGTCTGTTCATCTCAGTCTGTATCGATTTTTCCCCCACCCCTGTTTCTTACTACTACTACTGTTTCTTACTATGTTATATTATTTATCATAAGCAAGTACAGCTACACAGTACCGTAGGCCTACAAATATGCAATAAATTAAAGGCACTACTGTCTACATAAATTAAACATGCAGGAAACATAAATGATTGACACTTTGCTCACACATCACGCAGGCTTTTCGACAAATATAATGTAATAAAGACATTAATGTTAACTGGATACGCCTGTGGTCCGTGTTCTGCTGTGGTATGGCAACACCACTTGGACAAACCACGTGCAGAACTGCAGTACATAGTAATACCAGGGTTGGTAGCAATTATAATGACATTTTTAAAGTTTATTTATGATTTATGATTTGTGAATGTGTGGAGTTGCTTGCCATAGCATAGTAATAGTCAATATACTGTGGGGGGGGGGGGGGCATTAATAGCATATTTTAATAGGGGGGTATATTATTTTTCTACTGTAAGTCCATATATTTACTGTAAATGATGACTATTTGAGGTATGTAGGGGTGAAAAACACTAGAATAATCTTAACTTTTGATATTGTTTCCTAGTTCACTTTGTATTGAACTCTAAGGCCTTCAGCTTATACTGTAGCATATTCCTTCGTGGTTATCTGTCCGTCTTACATACTAAATATGAGAGTACATGTGTATATTATGTAAAAGAATCAAAAGAAATGCTCAGAAAGATTAAAAAAAAATCAACCTTCCTTTACTTCACTGTTAATGCAGTTACTTAGAAAAATGCTGCGTGACGTGACACTTGAGTCACAGCTTTCATTTCTGCTTTAAAATGCAAGTCTTGTGACAATTTTCTTACCATCAGCAAATCACATGATCAGATGGGAACCAACAATGGATTATTTCTTCTAAGAGTTGCCTGAGTAGCCAAAGCCTGAAATAGCGTATTCCTCTGAGCCGTAGACCATTTTCAACATACCATTTCTTCATCATGATGAACATGGGCACTGTAGTTTATTTTGAGTCGATCCCACACACACACAATCCGTGTGCAGTAAATACTGTCTTTATTAATCCGCAGCAGAGAAAGTCCCCAACAAATGCAGTATTTATTCCTGTTTGAGTAATGTTGCTAAAAACTACACTGTCCAGCTGTTTTGGGGAATTATTTAGTCCGTTTACAGAATGAAACTGTGCAGGTGTGACCCAGATCTAAAGATTTACATTTTGCATTTGAAGGAACGGGCTTGTGGCTGAGTGCTACACACAGTGTCGCGACATCGGGAAATACTGAGACTCTCTGAGAAATTAACTAGCATACTTGTCTTGTGTTTTCATGGGATTTGTTGACAATAAGAGACATTTTGAATATCATCAGTATTAAAGCAACAACTATAACAGAGATAATGTGAGCATCCACACTAATGAACAATAACATTCGGTGAACAGTGGGCGCCAAGCACACGCTGGGTGCTCCAGCTGTGTTGCCCTGTAAATTCAGATGGATTTTGATTGGCTAATAGTGTTTCTATCATTAATCAATTGCTGTGAATATCTGCTATTGTTCACCACTGTTGTTGTCTTTATAGTTGTGGTATGAGCTCCACCATCTGCTTGAGTTAGAACGATGTTTTAATATATTTATAGTTACTGTTGTAGAGAGAGCCCTTTATTCTTTAAAGTATAACCTCTGGCCACAAAATCATCAAGAGAGACAAAGTCAAACAGGTACAGCAGCATATTCTTCACTTACAGGCTAAATATTTGATAATATCAACTGAACTCAATAGTACAACAATATTATAGTTAAAATCCTTTATATTGACTGTATTGGCAATAGAGCTCAGCTCCACTCAAACGTAGACAGTTTCCTTTTCACTTTTTTCAAGTGTCAGTGGCATTTGCACCACTTACGCACCTCAGACACTTTCTCTCCATGTGAACCGACTTGACACTTCCACACCACCGCAGAACCACAGTAGCCGTGCCTGAACCTGACAGGATGTCCGTCTCTTTGTGTCGCCCTAATTTATCCCATCTCTGGCTGCCCTGGAAATCCTCAGATCAGTGTAAAACACAATCACCCTCCACTCTGCACCACGCAGTCGGGGCTTATAGTGTGCAACTGCACAAGTCACATTGTAATCTTTGCCATGTAATCATTGGATTTAGATGCCTGCCTGCGTCCAGAATGAGCCAAGCGATTTGAAATATCTGATGTGGCAGAAAACTGATGAATTCTTTCCACTTTATTATGAGCCACATCTGGGATTTGTGTTTCTCAGCAAAGCTTGTTCAGTGTTGCATCATTTGTAAACATTTGGACTTGCTCCTCCTTTCATCTCTGAAATATTCATCACTCTGGCTGGAAATGTGCTGCACAATGGACATGGAGCACTCTGTCCCCATTATTTGATTCAGGCTTGTTATGGTTTAGAGGAAAGAGCCAGCCACATCCTGATGGAACTTCTCTCACCTTCACATCTCTTTCCATTGTAATTCACAGGTTCCCCTCGCAGGACACTCATGCACCACAGTGAGAATAAACCAGCTTAGACTGCTGAATCAGGCAGAAATAGGGCACCCAGTGAGAAAAGTATAGCAGCGTGATTCTGCATGCAATAGCCGCCTGCTCTTTCTGGCTCACACCCTTCTTTCTAGCAACACACAATAACACTGGATGCAAAAGAGTGAAATGTTGTAACGCCCCTTATCTCACCACATTCTCATTTTGAACGTGCCTATGACTGTCGCCTGGAGTATAAACTTGTTCTGAGGCTGATAATTGCGCATTCACCACAGGGAGCCTTGCTAGACTGCCTTTTTAATTACATTTTTAATAGGTTTCCAGGCAAACAAATACAAAAGGTCAATGTTTAGTAAGACTTTGGCTCAACATTTGAATTTTCAAACACAAATTATTTCCATTATCGCACCTGTGGCGCAGTGATTACCTGTGACTTAATTCCTGGCTTCTCCTACTTCCTACGTGCCATCGCATAAGAATCAAGTTATTGTTGTCTTCCTCGCCCCTTCAGCACTCAGTCTGTGCAGGCTACAGCAAGAAAATGAAGCTTTGACGGCCTTCCAGTAGTTTCCACTTAGTTGTAGCTTTGTTAAACCTTTTGCTGAGAAACTGGGGAAAACTGGATTTGGATGTATGTGGAGGCAGTGTTCCCAGCTGGTGACAACATCAGTCCAAGTCTCTCATTAGTGGTAATTAGCTGCGTTTAGTGTCACCGCCAATATGTCATGTCTGATGAGAGCTTCTGCTCAAAGCAGCACTGGAACCACCTGGTCTGAATATTTTTTTTCTCTCTCTTTATCCTTTACTAACTGATTACAATTACCAGGCAGAGCAATGAATTACTCATTAAGAAAGTCTAACAGAGTCTAATGAGTCCTGAACAGTCTTGTCAGTCTGCTCATTCTCTGCCAGCTTCAATTTTGCACGTTACAAGTTGTACTTCTCTTGTAGATACAAGAAATGGGGATCCTTCTGTCAAATTTCCTCATCTCATCTGTCACACCACGCAGCTGTAGCTTGCAACTATTTCTAAAGGGAAATATGAAGGCTTATTGGATAAAGCTCTGCACTTTATTGATTGATTTGCTGACCAATTCAAAATTTGCCGCAGTGCTGAATCATAAAATGCTTCAGCTATTATTGAAGGGTCGATACATTGTTAGCACAGGCCAGAGGGGATGTTTTTTGATTGATTGTTCATGTTTGGGAACCACTCTAACTGCTGGTCTCTCAATGTTGGAAAAAGGGCAGCACCAAAGAAAAGTTCTGAAAGGATTATTGCAGAATCTTTTT